CTTTTCTAAAGGCTTGTTGATTCCCCCCCCCCCTGTACATTTTTCCACTTACAGCAGATTTGGTATCCAGGCGGCAGAAGTCTGATGTTAGCCAGCGTAATCCGTCCTCTGTCGCCGTCGTCAAACTCCACCATCACGCTTCCCTCCTTCTCTTCACCTGCGCCCCCTGCAGTCCAGCACATGAGGATTGATTCACTTTTTTTTTTTTTCCCATGGGTGTTCCTGGGGATTTGTGTCTCACACACACACCTCGGTGGACATAACCGGGATAAAGACAACGTGAGCGCTCGCTCCAGTAGGCACACACTCGCGTCCCGGCCATTAGGATGGCCTCAGTCTGGGGCCGCACATCCAGAACCTTGAGCGAAAGACAGAAAAATAAGAAATACAGTCCATTTAGCCAAAACATCAGAGGCCACAGACAGCACAGCGGTGCCATTAATCAATTTGAGCCGTCCCTCCCTCAAAAAAAAACACAACAAAAATGTTATTTCAGTGAGAAGAAATAGCACTCTTTATAAAAACAGAGCGAGACATGCTCTTTTTTTTTTTTTATGGGGTTGCAGGGCTGAAACTTACAGCTTCTTGTAGGATTTGCTCCAGTGAATAGATCCGGGGGCGATTCCCGCGCTCCCCTTCTATGACAACACTAAATCTAGGGGACACAAAAAAAGATACCAAAAACAAAAAAAATAGAACGGATGTACATGGTTACACAGTTGTAAGCTTTTTGAATGTACCAGACAGCAGAACGAGTCAGTCAGCCGAACTTACATATCAGGCAGGTCCAGAGTTTGGACAAGGGCGGCGTAGAGCAACTCGTCCTCCTTGGATATCAAAATCTTCAGGCCGTCAACGAGCATCTCTTTACTGAGCACACAGTTGGGCAGAGCTGATGCGGAGAAAATGGACGGAAATGAGATCATATCGATCATCAAAATGTATACGATAGGCGTGGAATGACCATGTGAGGTCATTGTTACGAAAAAAAAAAAAAAAAAGAACTCTCCATGTGTCAATTGTGGGGGGCCTACCGGGTATTTTGCAAGGCATTTTGGGAGGAAGGTGCACCGTCGTCTGTGGGCTCCCCTCGTCCGCATCTTCCTCCTCCTCCTCCTCTTCCTCCTCAGAGAAGCTGCTCTCCTCATCCAGGTGAAAGCCATCGTCGGCCGTGAAGCTCTGCAGGAGTCGGCTGACCCCGTGACCCGGGACCTGCAGTTGGGAACAAGATTGGGACGTCAGCGGGCTGAAAGTCGCATTGATGTCGCGTTGACTCACTATACGCAGAGGACAATTCATGAGGCACAAGGACTTCCAGTAGTGCAAATATAGCACACAACAAACAGCTGCGCTAAAGTATCTGTACCGAGAGTGTACTCGTAGATATTCAAAAAAGCTTTGGAACTACGATACCGCGGTATTATTCTGTCCTCGCTGGGTGTGCGGTTTGGCTATTAAAAAAATAAGTGTGACTTTAATGCTAACACAGAATGCAAAAACGCCAGGATAGTAGCAATCTGAATTTGAAGGGGGGGGGTCCACCGGGCTGCGCTATCTGTACCGAGAGTGTACTCGTAGATATTAAAAAAAGCTTCGGAACTACGACACCCGAAACCGCGGTATTATTCTGTCCTCGCTGAGCGTGCGGTTTGGCTATTAAAAAAATAAGTGTGACTTGAATGCTAACACAGAATGCAAAAACGCCAGGATAGTAGCAATCTGAATTTGAAGGGGGGGGGTCCACCGTTCCTCGCGCATGCACGGCCTGCTTACACCCAAACCCGAAGTCTAATTTACTGCTCTCACCTTCAGCAACCCACACACCTCCGACGACTAACTAGCCATGCCCAGACAGGTTCAGGCCAGTCAGTCTCTATCGTAAGACAACCGATGAGTGATGATGAAAAGTCGCCTCGTCCAACAGGACAATCTGAATTTGAAGGGGGGGGGGGGTCCCCGTTCCTCGCGCACGCACGGCCTGCTTACACCCAAACCCGAAGTCTAATTTACTGCTCTCACCTTCAGCAACCCACACACCTCCGACGACTGACTAGCCATGCCCAGACAGGTTCAGGCCAGTCAGTCTCTATCGTAAGACAACCGATGAGTGATGATGAAAAGTCGCCTCGTCCAACAGGTTTCTGCCTGCATTTAGTCTTTCCACACCGTGCTTAATGTACAGGAGGTGGCTTTTGTGTTCCAATTTTTTTCTGGGGGGGGTTGACGTGATAGGCGTTTCGTCACCAGAGGCAATGGGTGATCATTCTCTCAAAGCGCTGATGCGTGTGTGTGTGAAGGTGTGTGACGCGGGTGTGTTATAGGTCATGCCCAAAAGATGAGCTATGATGCATTTTTTTTTTTTTTTGGACATGCTGTTATGGTGACTCAAGCATTAAAAGAAGTGGAGGAATTAATGGTGGATTGGACAGGAAGCCGTCAGGTTGTGTAGGTTTTTTAGAAGCACTCTGCTGGGCTTTTATTTCCTCTCCCTGCATTTCTTATTCTCTGCCCTCGTTTTTAATACGGTGACATGAAGTCATTCAATGCAAAGGACGTTTTTTTTTAATTTTTTTTTTATTCACATGGTAGGGTCTGAAAATGGCTGACATTGAGTAAGTTCATCTGTCTCCTTTTCACGAGCCAAACGGAAACTGGATGCAATTTAGAATTCTTTCTCATGCATTTACCGCACACCAAAAATAAAAGCTGCTGTTGGTGAGTCAAAACGGACATCAAATATCTATTTCCAACCTGTTTTTTTTCCCCTCAACACGTCATCAAAAAAAAAAAAAAAAGCACACCTGCCAAAAGAAGCGGCGCATATTTTTCTTTTGGCGGTTCAAGTTGACAGCAGTCGTATCGTGACGACCTTCTTTCAAGGGCGGGGGACAAACTTTGGTGCTCTAGAATTGTAAAGCGAGCCCGACCGTGCATAATTGAAAACGAAGAAGGCATGTAAAATAGTTTATTAAAAAAAAAAAAATTGTTAAAGCTAAATGAATAGAAGTTTTTTCAATGATTAAAAAAAAACCCACTAAATATAATTTAATGAACCAGTTCTCCACCACTGTCAAATATGAAGGCAACAATAAACACACGAAGGACAGATTTATTTCTCGGCATAAGGGTTCCGCTTTTCCAAAGTGAGCCGGTAAGAATGAAGAGACGGCGCATAGAATCGCCTCACCTTCGCCAGGTGACGCAAGCGACACGGCGGCTTCTTATTGAGCAGGGTTAGAACACTTTTGGGGGTTTGGGGGGGGGGGTCCGTGACGGTCAATTTTTATTTGACTTTTGTTCTTTAAGGCCCCTTAGTTTTAATGATTGTTTCTTTCCGAAAATGCTTCGTTTTGGTTACATTCGCTTTCGTATTAGTTTTAGTTTTCTAAGGCCCAGATTTCAGTTCATTTGTTTGGGACTTTTGTTATTATTTGACTACATATACTTCTTGTCACATTCATTTTTTTTCCTTTGTAAAGTCCGTTCATTGGCTCGATAAACTGCTCCCCGAGGGCCTGTTTGCATCATATCTGGTGATTGCTATGAATATATATCACACTTTGACTCGCCGAAAGCTTTTTTTTTTTTTTTTTTTTGGTCGTTAGTCCAAGTTCTTGCTGAGCTCCTTTCCTAGTCATTTGGAGCAATCACAGGCCACCATGTGGACACCAAATCATCCCCTGTGAGACCGCAGAGGAACGTCAACAGCATTGCCAGGTTGCCGATCAGATGTTGTCTTGCGTGGAATATTTTGTCAAAACAACTTTCCACATTTAAAAAAAAAAAAAAAAAAGTATATTTATAAATCACTTTGTCTACTATCGGCAGGCTGTAAAGTGCAACCGTATTGACCCGAAGATGTCTGCGAATGCCTGTTTTAGCCAATCAAAAGCGTGATGAAAGTTGTTTCCAGAAAAATCTTTCCAACAACAAAGCTGAATCTAATGAAATGGAAAATGAAGTCAAGTTGAATATCAGCCGAGGTTCTACAGCTTTTGGACGAATTCCCCGGTAGGATCATTAAAATATGAGTGCTAGGATTCCACCCAAATTGGCTGCTTTGAATAAAAAATGGCCGACTTCCTGTTTGACTTTTGGCTTGGATTCTAGAAACTTTTTCATGTGTCTTGTTATGATCGACATTCATGTCGATTAGTGAACTAGTGTTGGACCCCTTCTCAGAGTGAAACCTCATTATACTCAACATGTCATTTGACGGTCCCTCATCTGCTTCTGATTGGGGCTCATTTAGAGCAATTTCTTAGTAGGAATTTGTCCAAAGCATGAAAAATTTGGGAATTCATCCAAAATGGCTGCTTCGAGCCAAAATGTCTGACTTTCTGTCCGATTACAGGAAAGAAAGCGTCTAATTTCTTGCTGATCAGTGATTCTTGTTTTTCTAACTTTCTAGGGGCGGCTCCCGAACGACTTTTGAGGGGCTTTGTGGATGAGACCCCTGGAATAGATCCATTTGCACTGGGATCTCAAGTCTGCAGGAACTGGTTTCCTTTCTACGAAATTGAGGCCACCCAAAATAGGTAAGTCTTCGTTGCATCGCCTGCTATTTGGGACTGGAAAATCACTGTCAGCCTTTGCGGTGACGTGACGCAACCAACAGCCAATAGATGAGCTCTAACAACACCAGAAACAGGAAACTTTGCAAACAATAAAGACAGCGGCATCGCCTTGTGCGTAATAAATGCAGAAAGAATCACGCCTTGTTTATAGCAACCCTGCAAAATTCAGTCTTTGTACAATCCCAGTCTGAGAGACGTTTTATTCACATGGTAGGGTCTGAAAATGGCTGACATTGAGTAAGTTCATCTGTCTCCTTTTCACGAGACAAACGGAAACTGGATGCAATTTAGAATTCTTTCTCATGCATTTACCGCACACCAAAAATAAAAGCTGCTGTTGGTGAGTCAAAACGGACATCAAATATCTATTTCCAACCTGTTTTTTTTCCCCTCAACACGTCATCAAAAAAAAACAAAAAAA